GGTGCCTTAACTCCTTTTACAAGTTTCTGCGTATGTTCCCAATTGTAATAACAGAGGTGTAGTAGAACTATACTATTATATTAATTGCTAAACTATTAACCAGGGTTACTTTAAGTTTAGTCATTACAGTTCTAATCCTACTGGGAAATTTACAGACAAGCCCATGGAAAATGACTCTGACAAGTGTTTATTTGTCAATCAGGACAAACATTCTTAAGTATTGGGGTCATTTTGTATTTTCCTTGTAAAGTTTTATAACAATTGTTTGTTGGCACTTTATAGCAAGTGAAGGGTATGGGTACATCCCCTGTGGGACAAACAATTAGATTAAGTAAGCCTAGTCTAAGAGCCAATTTTAAATAAGTCTCTTTGTTGCTTAATTTGGCCAGAAAAGTTCGCACTTCTGATCCATTCAATGTGTTATTTCCCCTTCTCTGTGGAACAAATCTGACTTTCTGGAAGAAGCAATGACTTTTAGGAGAAGCTACTACTGACTCCAGTGAGCAAAACTGCCAAATTGGTAAAATCTTCAGACAAGTATTCAGAGAAACAGTTTAAGAGGATGCGGCCCCAACTTCTTAGAGGAACAAGTGTGGTCAGCCAACCGAGACAGTTCAAAGGACTACACAAAGGAGGGGACTTCTCCAGATCCAGATGGAGTCAATTACGCAAACCTCTAAAAGTAATGAAAACCAAGAGGTTTTTAAAGAGGTTCTTATGCATGTGCTCTAATATTTAAGCCTTCCAAGCTTCTGATAAAAGCCAACCTCATGTCTTTGGCTAAGGTCTTCTGTTTAAGCAAAGGCAATAGAAATCAATGGTGTCTAACTTCTGTCTAGGGACACTGTGATTCTTCATTCTATGCAGAACTGATTCATTGATGTTTACCCTCTAATTGGACTGGCATCTGCCTCCTGGCACCTGGCCTCTAACATAGATATTACTCCAAACAGTCCTTAACTGTCTGCTACAGTGGCAGTCCAAAGACAGGGCCATCTAAGAGTTAAAAATAGCCACAGGTATAAACACCTATAGGCAAAGTAACCATAAGACCCTTTATCAGTTTTCAAAATGAAAAGTTAGATTGTTTATCCTTCTTCTTCTGATTCTCCCATCAACATTAATGTTCAGGTCATGCCTTCTAAACCAGGTTTATCTCTTCCAGCATAAAAGCCTTTAGGACCCAAATCATGAGGCAACAGGACTATTGGTTTTTACTGATGCACGAGATCTCCATGAGGAAACTTGACTGCACTGGACAATAATTCAGACACCTTGTGTCCAAATGAGCCCCTAAGGAAAGAAATAGGAGAGACAATTTCCCCTTGTAGGTAGGGTCTACTGTCCCTTGTCAACTCAAAGCAGATGCTGAAGGTAGACCATCCCATTTCAACAGCTCCTAAAAAAGAGTTTTTTGGAATATTGTTTTTCAGGGGGAATTTAAGGTAGGCTAAAATTAGGGAAAGTTTGGGACTCATAGAAGAATATTACATCTTACACTAACCATTCTTTAGCTCAGGAGCTGCCTTCACTTGGCCAGGAACCACCCCTGTCCCTCCCCACTCATTAATTGTTGTATGTGAATCACCTGGTCCTCCCCTTCCCATAGGTTATCTAATGTATTAAAGCACCTGAAGAGCAGAAGCACGCTCTCTTGGCCTCCAAGAGAGTGTGATTGTATTTCCCTTTCCTAACTTTTAATAAACTCCATTTATACCCACATGTCCTGTGATGAAGTCTTCCCATGAGACACAAAGAATATGGAAGTCTTCTGATCACAAACTGTACCAATGCTTTAACAACTTGTTAAAATAACCCAATAGGTAATAATTAAACTTAGATGAACATGCCAGAAGATTGTATACCCTGTAGTACTCAGTCAGTGAGGAACCTGGGGAAGGGAACTGCATACTAGGGGATAAAATTATTGTCATCATTTTGGGTGCGTCTGCATACCAGACACCCTATCTTGCAAGATATCTTTAAAGTCTTGCTTTCACTGTGCTTTCTGTTTTTGAGTCCATTCTTTGAGTTTGGACAAGTGAGCATATTTCTCACAATTTTCTAGCCCCACAAGCTGATACTATTGTTCTCACTCTAGAGGTGGACCTGAGGCAGGCTAGAAATAGAAAAAGATTGGCACTCTTAAATATATATGACTTAACAGATTGTATAGCAGAGTGAAATTTTCTCTCTCTCTCTCTTTCGCTCTCTGAACCTCTTTCAATTGAAAAAAAAATTAACAGCCATAGGGCTCCTTTTCAATTGCAAATATGTGCAGAATGATCCATCACTCTAGCCCAGGAATCACACAAACCCCTCCCCACTCATTAGTTATTGGTGACCGGAAACTGCCCAAATCCTTCCCCTCCCACAGGTTATAGGTTTTAAAATGCCTTGAAACAGACAGCTTGCCCCTCTTCCTGCTTCCTTCCCACCTGGCCCACATAGCCAGATGGGGCCTCACCTCACCATTGCCTTTTATAATATCTCTCCTTTACCTTTAATAAACTCTGTTATCCCCCGACACACACAAACACACATGCATACCTTAGTACATCCTCCTGGATGCTTCCATGCCGGATACTAAGAATTTGGAAATCTTCTGATCTGAGACTGCAGGAACCTTCAAAAGACCTGCTTTCAGTTTAATGAAAGTATACTCCACTCCTAATAAACTTTGCTACCACTTTCACCATATGTTCCTATCTTGCCTGCATTTTTCTCCTGCAGGATGCAAGGACCAATGTAGATACGAGGGCTAAACTTTCCAATCACGCCCATAGAATCACAACTATAGGCCCCTAGACTTATAAATGTACCTTACACAAAGGACTTGGTGTACTTCTCCTGTATCCTGATCAATCCATAGTGCTATGCTCTGTTTTCCTGCTTTTCTGCTCTGTTAAATAAAATGTCTATACACTTCTCATCTAGTTAGACTTGTCCTTAAATTTTTCATGTGATGACGTTACAAACTTGTTTGGCATGGGTGCCACGAATACAACACCCCAAGTCGTAAGGTTGGCAACCAAAAATGAGGTTATGCTCTTTTGGAACCTCCTGGGATTTGAACAAGTTCTGGCTGTGGTGACCTGAGATGAGAATACTAAGAGAAAATGCTAAGGGAATTAACTGCATCTGTACTAAACACATATAGATTTTTTCTCTTGTCATTATTTCCTAAACAAGACAGTATAACAACTATTAGCAATTACACTTTCTTAGTTGTTATTCTAACTGGGCCCCTTAATATTGCAAATTTAAAGAAATCTTAAAATTGTATTTGTTCTTCCTTTGGTTTTACAATTCCAGCTTCCTGCAGGAAATCTTTACCTGCCTGGAGCAGAAACTTCTCATCCCCAGTTCTGCAACATAGACACTTTCAACAAATCTCACAAAACCAGAATCACAACAACCCTTTCTGCTGGACCCAAGGCCACAGCCTGGGGAAATTTGCACATGTGCATTTATTTCCTAGCTTTTGTTCTACTCTCCTATAAATTGTGACACCTCTGTGGGTTTGAGGAAGGACACATTGCCTGCATTCCTGGACTGGCCAAGCTATGAATGAGTAGATTTATTTCTCCTTTTCATCCTCTCCCTCTTACTCCAGGTATGAGTGGGTTGTAGAATCCAGTGAGTTAGTACCCAAAATTCAGGCATTTGTCCTAGGCTGGATAACATGACGAGTAACCTACAGATGACTTTAGGTATTCAGGCTAAATGAAAATATGAGACCATTTTACATAAACGACCTGAACGTCTGGAGATTTAGGGATCCACTGGGGTCCAGGAGCAAATTCACCTCCTTCACACACTAAGAGACTACTGTGCTCACAAGTTCTGTAAAAAAGATCTAGCAAAGGGAACGTGAGGTAAACTGTGTTACAATTATATACAAAGAAATAATATGCAACTACTTAAATACTATTAGCATAAAATGGTAACATTAGTATGGTAAAAAAAACAAAATTATAAATTTATAAACAAAATTATTAATTAAAGGCCAGAATACCATCATTTCAACTGTGTAAAGTATACTAATAGCAAACAAACAAAATAAGTAGAAATTTACACCTGAAAAAGCCTAAGAGTTGGGCACTGGTAATCATAGCTATTTGGGAGGCTGAGATAAGGAGGACTGAGGTTTGAGGCCAGACCAGGCAAATAGTTTCCAAGACCCCATCTCCAAAATAACAAGAGTGAAATGGAATGGAGGTGTGGCTCAAGTGGGAGAGTACCTGCTTTGCAATTAGGAAGCCCTGAGTTCAAATCCCAAATAATATCCAAAAAAATCTCACCAAAAATAATAAACCTAAGAAATGTCAGAGGTACCTCACAGGTCACAAGCCTACCCACCCACCCTAAGACTCACACATGCAAATTGGTCTGATATGTCATTCTCTTATTACTTATGCAAACAACACAGCACAGTTTTATTTCAGAGGTGATTTCAGGATTAAGAAGAGGGTATGCCAAGGATCGAGTGTGATGACCTTCCCCACGCTGACCCTAGCCATATACTGCCCTCATCTCTACTCCCCCAAACCAACTTTCAGTCTAATCACAGACAATTGTCATTCACCCTCACTGTACACAAAAGTCACCAAGGGCCCTTGATGTCACTTCTTGCCACACTAATCCCTCCTCTCCCAGGTCCTCCCTTACTCACACACTCCAGAACTCTCCTCTGGGTCACTGAAACCTCAAGGACACACACCATCAAACACACAAGTGCACACATGCACACACACACACACACACATAGGCTCTCTCCTGTCACCATTACACACTGACAAAAATCCCACACTATCTCAGGACACACACTCATAGTGCCTTCCTGATGTCAGCTCTCTCATAATTCTACATCCTCATCCTGGACCTAGTCTCTCTCTCTCTCTCTCTCTCTCTCTCTCTCTCTCTCTCTCTGTCACACACACACACACACACACACACACACACACACAGATTCCCTGCCTGCCCAGCCCAGCACTCACCTCTCCTCTGCACAGTGAATCTCTCCATAGCTTCATAGTTGTGTCTGCAGCCCGTGCGTCCTCCAGGATGTCCTTCTGGCTGTTCCAGGATTCAGCCTCAGGCCGCCCCAGCTCAGTCATTGCAATGAACTCCCCCACATCACTGTCATAGTGCACAAGCTCCTCCTGGTTATAGATGTATCTGTCCACAAGTCGCACCCGCTCCGTCCCGTTGGAGAAGTAACATTCATGTTTAACTTGCTGCAAGAAATGTGCTGTGGGAACAGGAACGGTTACTGGCTCTAATCTTGCTTATCTTTGAGGACAGGGTGCTTGAAGGATCAAATTCCTCCTCAGGAGCCCAAACCCACTGGACCTAAGTTAGCTGCCAGAGTGACCCAAACATCCTTTACCTGCACCTGATAGCATCTGCACGCATTACACACAAGGCACTGCATGACAGGTGACAACTGCCAGTACAAATCATAACAATGGCCATGAAGGACCCATAAAAGGAGAGAAAAGGAGTGGTGCTCAAATCCCAGGAAAGCTCCCCTATTCCCAGAAAAAGCAGAACACTCCTCCCTTTGTTAGCCTACTTCATTTGTTTTATCCAATACCTGTAATTCCCACTCCCCAAAGGGTGTTGAAGGGGGAACTGCCTACTTCTTCTACTCTTGGTTATAATAACACTTACTTTTACTATTGGTTCCAAAATTTCAAAGAGGAAAAATACCCAGTTTGGGGTAAAAAATTTGTAACAGAGCGATCCTGTCACAGACCAACCAAAAGAGACCAACAGAGATACCCCTTATCTGGTCACCTCTCAAAAGATCAGCACCCAATGGGTTCATCTTTCATAGCCCAAAGTTAGAGGAATCCCAATATGCTGGGACACCCCTCTGATCCAACACTATTATGGACCTATTGTCCCTCTGCTCTGTCTGCATTAGGAACAAACTACCTGTCAGTGCTGGGCAGGAGACCAAGTAGGAGCTGGACAAAGGTTTTCCCCTCACCACTGCCTGCACCATCTCCTGCTGGAGCCTCTACAGGAAAGACCCCACTCCTGACTATCACGGCCACAGCTCTTCACCCTTTCCTTATTTTTTTTTATGTTCTTTATTTTTTATATTTTTTATTTATTTTTTATTATTTTTGTTTGTTTGTTTGTTTGTTTGACTCAAGTCTCTGGAGCACATATGATCACCCTTTCCTTAACAGGACTGTCTGGAACTTTCTGTGAAGTCTTGCTTAGTGCTGACCATGTGCCAGGCCTGTGCTACCATTCATAATCCAAAGAGGGAAGAGCAGACACCTGCCCAGAACTCCTAGAGCTTAAATTAGTTAAACTGAGGGGAAAAGCCAAACACTCCAGGAATTATCCATAATGAGACATGTCAAAAGAAACAGGTGGAGATCTGTCAACAGGACAGGAGGACAACCTAAATAAAATGGGCCAGAGAAGGATGCTCAGGAGTCACATTTAAGATGTGACATGGAAATTTAATTTGATGTGAATCAGAAGAAGAGTGTGGTGTATGCATAGGTTTGGGGGGAAAGGAAGTGAGACAGAGAGATGGAGAGGACAAGGAGGAGAAAACATTTTTTAAAAGAATTGAATTTTAAAATCAATCCTTTCTAAATTATGTCACGTTCATTTCTGCACATAAAGCTCTGATCTCATAGAGAAAGAGACCCCATAGAGAACTGTAAACAGCCCTATTAAGGCTGTAATTCCCAGTCCCCAAATTGTGTTGAAGGTGGAATCACCTACTTCTCCTATTCTTAGCTATGGTAAAACTTACTCTTGCTATTGGTTCCAAAATTCCAAAAATTAAGTTCCCCCCTCCCCAAAAAAGTCCTTGTTAAAGGTAGGATGCAAATTTCTGTTAGGCCCACCACCCACACTCACTTTATGAGGATGTCCTATTCTTGCTAATATATTTGCTTAAATCTCAGGTCTAACTTGTCCTTCAGAAATTCTTTTCTGTAGTCATGTCAGAACTGTCTCTCTCTCTCTCTCTCTCTCTCTCTCTCTCTCTCTCTCTCTGTCTCTGTCTCTTGATCTCTCTCTCTCACCTCTGTTTTGTGTACACATTCACATGCTTCATAGGTACATTTTAAAATTACATCAAGAAACCAGAAGAAAGAAGCCCAGTAAAATTTGTTCAAAAAGAATAATAAAGGGGGTGAATTTGACCAAAATACATTTTATGAATTATGGAACTATCACAATGAAAGCACTAACATTAATGGGAAAAATCATCTCATTTAAAAAAAAAAGAAAAACTAAATGAGAGGCTGGCAATCTAGCTCAAGCGGTAACCAAGTATCTATCAAGCAGGAGGCTGAGCAGGGCATGGTGATCCATACATACGAAGTATTAGGCCCTGAGTTTGAAGAAAGTAAGGGGAGAAGTGTGAATGTCTAGACTTGAGAAATCATTGGTGGGATATCAGGATTTTGAATTTATACTAAGTATGAGAAACTATTGAAGAGGTTTTACAAGATTAAAATCATGGTCCTAACATAGGTCCATAGTCTCTTATCTGAATTTCCAAATCAGAAAGCTCAGAAAACATGATCTTTTAAAAATCTGAAGTCAGATTTATTTGTGAATTCTGACCTGATGAGGGAAAGGAAAAGATGGGTTCTTGTTAGTGGGTCAGTCACATGTGCTTCTGCGGTTCCAATATATAGAAACATGCACATATAGGAAAGAGAGTGAGAGAGAGAGATGCACATACATATCATATATGTATTTATTTTTTGGTTTTATGTTTAATGACCTCAGAAAATGTTTTAAAACACTATAGTTGGACTGGAAGGATGGCTCAAGCAGTACAGCACCTGCCTAGCAAGCGTGAAGCCTACAGTTCAAACCGCAGTATCTCCCTCCCACAAAGAGAAAAAATCAAAACAAAACATGTATTTGAAAATGACACAAATAAATGCAAGCATTGAACATTATAACCAGCATAGAATGTAGAATGACAGGAATAGTTTTAGGAATTTTACTGAAAAATATTTGTGGCAGTCATCGATATTTATGACTCGTGAAAAAAAAAGTTGCTGAAAGTTAGCAGAGATATTGAGGACCAAGGACTCATGAAATATTGAGAAACGTTGCATAAGGCCAAAAAGTAAACAATGAAAATCTTGAATTTGCATTGATTGAAAGAATCCAAAAAGAAAGTGGTTATTCATGCAACTGTCTAGTTTTGGTTTGTTTGTTTCTTTGTTTGTTTTGTGATGAAATGACCTAAAATAAACCACAAATGACTGAATTGGAAAGTGTGTGTTTAGGAAAGTGGTGAATGTAGAATTTTAGAAGCAGCTCAATATAAAGATGTTCTTACTCTCAGCATTGTTGACATTTTGGACCAGAAAGTTTGCTGCATGTCCTCTGGTGAGTCCATGGAGTAAGATGTGGGATGCAAAACATCCTGGTAGGAACCATTATGAAAACCTCCTGAAAATCCATGGTGAAGAAGACAGGGGAAATTGTGAAACAGCTGAAATTAACACTAAAAAATTTGCCCATATACTATTTGTTGAAAACTAGAGACTAAGCAAACTTTATCTGGAAAACAACTCCTCTCTAGGATCAGATTCCTAAAACACATTCATAAGGTTTCATAAGAGATTACAATCAAAAGCTGATAATGCTGACCCCCAAACCAAAAGGATGCTGAATAGAAGAAGCCAAAATCCAAATACCTGAATGCCTGCTAGGTATATTTTACTTGTGTATTGTTCTTCACAAAAAGAAAATATGGACAACCAGAGATATAGTTTTGGCTGGATCATTAGCCAATTTGTATATGCTGCTTAAAATCATTTCATGAAAACTGGATCCTGAGAAACCTGTAAAGTGTTGTCTCTGTACAAGCACTCCATGTACTACATGGGCTCTGGTAAAGTTCTTGCTAAAAGGGAGGTTCAGATTTTTTTTTAACCACTGGGATTTGAACTCAGGATCTAGTGCTTGCTAGGCATGCACTCTACCACTTGATCCATGCACCCAATCCTTTTTTCTTTAGTTATTTTTCAGATAGTGTCTTGTACTTTCTGCCCAGAGCTGCCTCAGACCAGGATCCTCCTACCTCTGCCTCTCTGTAGTTGGGATCACAGGTGTGAGCCACAGTGCTGGTGAGGTTTGGGCTTTTAAATGTCTCCTAATGTAACATCTGTATTGAAATATTGTGGCCAAGATTCTTGTCCCATGAAGAATAGGTGTAAATAATTTTTAAACTGTATGCTTATTGCAGTTTACAGATACCTAACAACCCATAGTTTTCTGAAGAAATCAGTTGCTGGAGCTCATTCAAAAGGTAATAACTAATTAAATCATCCTTAATAAAGGATTGACACAGACGTGGGATGAAACTAATGCTTGCAAAGAGTTTGCAGATGAAGACTGGGAACTACTAGGAAGGTGGAAGGAGAGGGAAATGGAGAGGAAGGGGAAGAGAAAAAGAAGACCAAAAGAGGGGTGAATGTGAGCAAAATACATAACATGCATGCCTGGAACCAAACTAAAGCAGATACCTTAAATGCAACTGAGGCCAATAGGAAAAGGGGAACAGGTACTAGAGAAAAGGTTAGATCAAAAAGAATTAACATAGAAGGTAACACCCACGCACAGGAAATCAATGTGAGTCAATACCCTGTATAGCTATCCTTATCTCAACCAGCAAAAACCCTTGTCCCTTCCTGTTATTGCTTATACTCTCTCTGCAACAAAATTAGAGATAAGGGCAAAATAGTTTCTGCTGGGTATTGAGGAGGTTGGGGGGAGAGGGAGGGGGTGGAGTGGGTGGTAAGGGAGGGGGTGGGGGCAGGGGGGAGAAATGAACCAAGCCTTGTATGCACATATGAATAATAAAAGAAAAAAATTTCAAAAAAAAATGTAATCCTTTACTATGTTCAATTTAGTACATGCCAATTAAAAAGTTACATTAGCAATAAAAAGATTCTTTAAAATATCATATCAATAATGACAAGAAAAATATATAAATTTCAATACATAATAAACATTTACTAGATTAAAATCTAAATAGATCAGAGGAAACTGACATCAATAAAATAATGAGCATTGACCACAAGGTCTCTGCGAGTCCAGGGAGTGAGATGTGGGATGCAAAACTGTCCCTGGGTGGGAACATGGCACTTGGGAAAGTGAGAGCAGATAGCAAGATGACCAAAGGCAACATGGTAAGAATGAGATTGGCTACATAGTGCCTTTGACAATGAGCATTCACCATGGAGA